TACCCACTTGAAAGTAACACCTTACACCCCCTTTATCTAAAGGCAAGTTGAAACACAAGAGGCATGTAGCAACCAAAGTTTTATATTTGACAATATCTCAGGATCCACTCAGGGCAGCTTCAAAGCAATAGCAAATCAAGAAATAACTTTGTGGAGAGGCTAATGTCAAACACGGGAAATCAGTAGTCCAGCCAATTCAGTTGAAGATATAGATATACTTGTATGCTAAAGCTCTCTATAAAAATCTGAATTACTAATGGTCAAAGCAAATTGGTGGTAAATAAGAGTCAATGGAATCAAAGAATGGCTGGACTTAGATCTCTTGTGGGCACTAAAGTGCTCAAGACTTATGACATGCTTGAATCCTCCCTCAGGCTCAGCCTGGCCATCTCCTACAGTTACTCTCTCTCTCTCCCCAATCAGCCTGAAGTGCTCAGCACTGTTTTCATAAGTTACAATCTACAAACCTAGCTAATGAACGTTATAGGTATCCATGCTTGTTTCTTGAGAATGGTGCATCTCTATTAAATCATACCATGGTTAGAACAGAACCTCTCCCTTGACTATTTCTTTAGATGTCTTTGTCCTATTTTCCTGGGTGGCTTGACGCTTCCAAGATTTAAGAAAGTTTGATCAGCAAAGAGCAGATATATGTTCTCAGGTTCCTTCCCTTAGAAGAGGGCAATGGAATAGAGCAATTAAAATAAAAGCAGGGAGGCTTGTACCATCCCCATCAGAGACAGATGTCACCGGTGTCCTTTTGAGTGTCCTATCTGGTCTCTTAAGGGCTGAGCTAACAACGTATCTTCTGCCTTCTAACTTGCCCAGCAAAATCACAACCTCACTCAGATCTTGACTACACTGGTCCAGCGCTGGGGACTAACATCTTCTCCCGTCATGAAATGTGAAACAAATGAGTTTGTAACCTGCTGAGGAACTTTCGCTGCTCTAAGTGCTCCTTGGAGACCGGGGCATCAAAACATCAAACCCAAGACTTTCATCTCCCTTCTGGAGACAGGAACCCAGTTAAAGGAGAAGCAGGTGACAGGCTTCATTGCTAAGCGTCGCTTGGTAAAAGCACTCAGGAACTCTTGATTCTCTGTTTTAGCAGAGCTGTCATTCCTTTTTGCTTCCCCTTCCCCCCACCCAATCCCTGGGAATTGGCAATAAAAGAAAGATTTGATTCACCTCTAATAGGTGTCAAGATAAAAATCAATGCCGTGTCTGAAATCTGGGTAATTTCAAATGAAGCCATCTTTGTGGAACAGGAGGAGCAAGGGGAAGGAAGGAAGGAAGGAAAAGGAGTAACCCACCACACAATGATAGTGTTGTGTCGCGAGTCGAGGATTAACCTGTAATGACTCCTGATCTGTCCACTGAGCAAGCCGGCCTTGATGCCTTTAATACACACTTCGGCCTGTTGACTCAAGTGGATATTGAACCTACTAGCTTTTGAGTGCCTTTCAGCCAGTGAATGTTTTACATCAGAGAGCTTCGGCCTTTGACTGACGTTGCTTGTGAAGTTCACACTCACTTCCAAGGGTATTCCAAGTCTCTCTTTGTATGCTTCCAGTTGCAAATGTCCCAGAGGAATAGTAAGTGCTGAAGTATTGGAGGTTCTCAAAAACAGCCTGGAGAGACTTTTGTCTGGGGCTGGACTAGCAGACCTCTGAGGTCCCTTCCAGGATTCTATGTTTGGCACATCTGGGAGAAAGGAGTGACAAGACCATTCTGAGCAGAACAAGGTTTGATTTAATGCAAAGCAGATCTGGGTTCTCAACGAGAAAGGCTTAAAAAGCAGATGCTAGACAGGAAAGAAAGAGTACACACAATCACCATGAGTTTTGTATGTGCGTGTGTGTTGTGTGTAGCTAGCTCATCCCCCTTCATTCTTTTCTTCATGAAAAACAAGCATTTGTTCCATTACACAAACTTCTGAGAATAATAAAACCAGCACCCTGTTCTTACAAGGCCTACTGCTAGATGGGACCTTCATAAACCTTTTAATTTAATACGGTAGGTGTAGATATAAAGAACCCCATAACACAACACTCTGGCCCCTGAGCTCCACACCATCCACCATCTGTATGAATGCACTCTGATGCTCTCCAGCAGCAGCGCCACAACATTCGTGTTCTTAAGATATATATTTGGCTACACTTCAGAGCAGGCATACACACCTTTCCAGTGCTATCAAGTCAACTAATGAGCGGTTTGCAAACAGCTCCACGAAACGGAGGTGCCCAGTCTTTGAGCCATAGTAAGACGTGTCTTGAAGGGCACAGCTGCTCAAAAGGAATTATGGAAATGGTCCTCTGTGGCCTCCTTCCAAATGAAGAGTTAAGGAGGTGGAGTCATAGCAGATGTGGACCCAGGGTGGGGTTGTCCCTCAGTAACGTGATCATTGTGAGCGGTGAGCATCCAGTCTATCTCCCGTGGATGTGAACGGAGCTGCGTCTGCGCTTGAAGAACAGAATTCAAACTCCAGCTTGGCCACCCGATTCGCCACTTGACTGTGGACAAGTCATTTGTCTTCTCAGGCGGAGAACCCCACCTGCAAAATGGGAATAATTGTGACCTACCTTGTCGGCCTTGTGGAACTATGAATGAGTTATGCTTAGCAAAACACGGTGCACTTGACTTATGAGCATTCATCCTCTACTACAGAGCCAGATTTTGGAAATAAATCACCCTGAACAGAAATGGGAAATAATGTTTTCATGAAAGGAAGATATGGACTCACAGTTCCAGAAACCGAGCTCGTAGTCTGCAGTCGATAGAAAAAAGTTAGAGGAGTAAAACCTAGATGTTTCCACCACTTACAATGCCCCCAATATTTGAGGGACATTGTATTATCTGAGCTAGGAAAAAGAAAACAAGAGGGCGGGAGGAAGTAAGTAAGAGGAAAGGCTGAAAGGCATAATCAACAGCATGATATCCATCTTCACAAAAAGAGGTTTAACGGTTGAAGGATTTCTTAGATCGGAAAACAATACTTGGAGGTTTACCAAATTACACTTGACCAAGAAGAAATATACACAGTCGCTCATCCAGAACAGACAAATCAGAGGATGTTCGCTTAACTCCAGCAGACCTAAGATAAAAGTCATGCTTGGAGCAGAGACGAGAGTCCCGGTGCGCAGATGGCTGCTGGGGCCACCAGTGCAGAGGAGATGATCAAAGATCTGCTGAAAGACAAGACCAGACTCTCAGCAAAGATAAGCAATGACTAACCAGAACAGAAGCCCCTTCATGTGACAGCAGGCCACCACTGAACCCTGACAGGCGATATTGTAGGCCGCATAAAAGGGTTATGGATATCATCCTCTGTTCCTTAAGTGTCTGGGAGGATTCCCATAAGAGGTCTAAGGAGGTATTCTTACAAGACATAAGTAGCAGCAGCAAGAAGGGGAGAAGATCAGGAGAAGACCTGGAATCACATTGGATCTCCATGGAACCCTTTCTTTCCCCATTGCTGTCTTTTATCAGATTAGAAAAGAGTCACATGATGGCACAGAGTGATGCCAACTTAAGCCTCTGATGGTCCAGACTGGTTGGTATGGTGTAGATAGCAATAGCACTTAGACTTATATACCGCCTCATAGTGCTTTACAGCCCTCTCTAAGCGGTTTTACAGAGTCAGCCTCTTGCCCCCAACAATCTGCATCCTCATTTTACCAATCTCGGAAGGATGGAAGGCTGAGTCAACCTGGAGCTGGTGAGATTCGAACCGTCAAACTGCAGGCAGCTGGCAGTCGGCTGAAATAGCCTGCAGTACTACATTCTCACCACTGCACCACCATGGCTCACAGATGGATATCCATTTGTTGTAAAAATATATGCTTTTTAATAAATAGAAGAAAGCTGTTGTGGTTGATCAGGGGTCTCCAGACTTGGCTACTTTTTAAGGCTTGTGTACTTCAACTCCCAGAATACCTCAGCCAGCATAAATCTTCAAGTTGCCACGTTTGGAGACCCCTGGAGTAGCTGAGTGCTAATGTCTAAGGTATGAAAGATATAGGCACCTATATATTTTCAAGTCACCACCAGGAAAGATGTGATAACTTTGTTCAAGAATATTCTGGAATGCAGGAGGCAAAAAGTATGTGTGGTTTCTGTGTTCCAAATTTGGGTTCACCCAACAGGCTTAACTTGGGTACGGCATCAACCCACATTCTGGGTTTGCACAGTACATTGAGTCATAAACTAATTAGTCTGAGTTCATGTAACACATTATTCCCCCAAAACAAAAACAAAAACAAAAAAACTAACCAAGGTTGAAACTAGCCAAACGTAGTCAATTTATGTGAATGCAGCCATTTGCTTTGTATCTGACTTACGACTTTGTATGTGACTTACAAAGTACGTTGTGTGATCATCCCCAGATAGATAGTTACAGCAAGCTTTCTTATAAGAAGCAACCCATAATTCCACTTTTTAAAACCTAAAGCAGAAACCAGCTCATCCCACAATTAAGGCTTCAGCCTGACAAAGGCAGATTCTGGGAGAAATTGTGGGATGCTGCTCCTGGCTGCATCCATGGAAGTCCTCCGTCAATTCAACTCTATCTTAGGCATTAGAAAGAGGTTACGGACACAAGAGCATCCATTTATACCAGGGGTAGGCAACCTTGGCTCTTTTATGACTCGTGGACTTCAGCTCCCAGAATTCCTGAGCCAGCCTGGCTCAGCTTGGAAACCTCCCCCTTTCCCCTCAGAGTGGCTGGCTCAGGGAGTCTGGGAGTTGAAGTCCACGAGTCATAAAAGAGCCCAGGTTGCCTACCCGTGATTTATACAAACAACAGAAAATATTCAAAAATCTTTGGAACATTTGATTTTCTAAGAGATGCCTAGTGAACTCTGGTAATAAAAAACCAACAGCATGAGATAACACTCGGCTTCTTGAAATTAATCTCAGGAGAACCAAAAAAAGGGCATAAAACGGGGGCAAAACCTCTCAGTCCATCTCGTCAAGCCAAATCACGTGCGCTAAGACATTACCCGAAGCGCGGCTTGTTCCAGCTGTGCTTCCAGAGATCTGTTCTCTTGTTCGAAGCGTCTTCGTTCGGATTCCAGTTCCTCAATCTTTAACCTTGAAGAGAAAGAGTTTCATGTTACCTTGATGGGTAATGTAAACTTTTTTTTGCATCCTTGGGAATTTACATATTGTGTGTTTGGGGGGGGGGTTTGGAGCCAGGATGCTCGTTTTAACCTGCCAGGTTTGTCATTCAAGTGGGATTAAGTGTGCTTTCCAGAAGCTGAGTGTGACCCTCAAGCTGGATCTTCCTGAAAACTCAAGTCACCTGCGTCATGAGGTGGTGTACACAGCTGTGTCATATTGCAGAAATAATGTGCCTCATCTGAACCTCAAGAGGGCTAATTAAGCTAATGAAGGTTTAATTATGAAAACACAGGAAAGGCCCTACGGGATGAAGCCGAAGTCCAATCTAATCTACATTTAATGGCACTTGCTTTACTCGGTTCCCAGATCCATCTGTGGGGAGCCACAGGTGATTCTCCGATGGTGCTTTTCTGAAGCTCTGAAGAACATCAAGAGGGAGAAACCAACAATCGAGCGAGTACCATTAAACGGGGCTCATAAACCAGGACAAGGACGTGGCTTTCTGATCAGCTCCTTAAAGCTGGATCTACAACAATTCACCGCGGCCAACTCGCCACGGCTGTTTTTCTATGGCAAGTTAGCCATAATGAGTTGGCCGTGGTGAGTTATCCCATTCCACTTAAAACCACCCATTTCCCAAACACCTAGCTGACATGGAGGATTTACTGAAGTCACTGATGGAAAAAAAAAAGAGTTATTATTTATTCCAGTTCAAAACGTTCCCTTAACTCCCGGCCAATCAAAAAAAACAACAGTTTTTCATCCTCCTGGGTGAAACAACCTGTTACACCATGAAAGGCTGAAGCAGCCCCTGGCTGCAGAAGAGGGGGGGGGAATCACCAAATGGGGCTAACGTGATTTATGGGAGGCCAGGTGTAGATGAAGGACTGGCAGTGTTAATATTACTTTGTGCTGTTTCCTCAGAAGTAATAATGTCGAAAGAGAATTTTCACATATAACAGCTATATAAAAAAGAGTCTGATGAAAAGAGAGCTTTGTTCTTCGAGGCCGGATTGGGAGGAGGGGCAGGCTGGGTGGGCAGAGATGGAGAGATATGAATAAAGTCTTTTAAAAAGCTTCCTGGAGATAATTTACTTTCCATATTTTAAAAAAAGAGAAGACAAAAGATATGTTTTCTGTAAAAAAAAAACCAAACCCTCTCACGCATAGGATGTGAATACAGATTTAAGGGGGGGTGAAGCCTGAATTCTCCACTGGCCACATTTGGGAGGGGGGTGGCGCTTGTGTGTGTGTGTCATTTTAACCACCCAGTGTTCATGGAGATAGGCAGCTAAAGGTTCGACCCTAGTTTGGTGTGCATCTCCCTCTCCGAGAAAGGTTTTTTTCAGCAAGGGGATATTGGCAGAGACCAGAGAAGGAACTGGGTATCAGGATAGTGGGCAAAAAAACTAGACCCAGAATCCTCTCCAAGTGCCAGGTGCGAACAGCCAGAATCACTTGTAAACAGCTAAAATCAGTAACTTTATTGCTTACTGTCTATGTTACAAGAATCTCCCCAAACTGCTCTCCTTCCCCTGGGAACAATCAGACAGGGCTTCATGGATCTTGGAGGAGATCAGACTTATGCCTTTTGCGGCTATGCAAAGACTCCAAGCTACGCCCTTGCTTGACTCTTCCCTCCAGTTTCCCAACACCAATTTCAAAGTATGCATCCTCTTTCATCCTACTTTTCATCAGAATGAGTCTCTGGTGGAACCATGAATGGAGAAGAAATGGGAGAACAATAGATGGTCCTAAGCTTTATTATGCCTGCTGGTAACAGCTGGTACACTTCAATTATTGGGATAGGTTGAATTGATGTCTACTCACAATGGGTCTAGGGTGTGGGCAGAGTTCCAAAGGTATCCTGCAGAATCCCCCTCTAATTTTGGAAGGTGAGACAATATTAATTTTCCTGAGCACCCTGGAAACCATGTCTCCTTGACAGAAGGAAGATCATCATAGCAAAAGGCTGGTCTCCAGCCTCGTCCAGTAATTAAGGAAGAAGCAACTTCAAACTGTGGAAAGAATACTTGGCTTCAACTGTCTATTGCTTGGGACCACACAACCCAGAGGGAACAGTATCTGGATCTTGAGTTTAGTTGGAAGAACAAGCCAGCTTGGATGCAACCATATAGGAACATTTTCATGGCCAGTTTTGACATTTTGTTTTGCTGGGAAATTTAAGCAAAGCATGCTGCCTGGGGCATTGTGGGATTTGAAATCTACCTATCTTATAGTTCCTGAGGTTGAAAAATATTGCTTTACACTATGGGCTCACCTATGCTTCTTCAGAAGAATTATCAAATTCTGCCGTTATGAGGGTTTCCATTTTTGGAAAGGTGTTTTATCATTTCTCCCTTATTCAAGAGCGGCAGGTCTCTCCCAACTCAAATACAGATGTGGCTGCTGCTGCTGTTGTGGTGGGGCAGAAGTAAAGAGAGGCCTCCATATGAACTACAACAAGCCAAACATGCTAGGAAAGTTTAAAACGTCAGCAGTGCAAATTGTATACATTTTCACCCAGCTCCTGCTGCTTCAGGTCCCCGCCCTACTAACTCGCAAAATGAAAGCCGGATAATTTTATTTCAAGAGGCAATCTACCTGTCAGCTTGGCACACTATAAATTGAAAAAGTAATCCATCATCTTTAAGTGGGATCCGAGTTCATCTAATTAGTGGATGGCAGAACTTGAAAAGACAAAGAAATGGATTCGGTGAGACCTCTTTCTCTGGCTTCCAAAGTTATTAATCATGACCTTGGTCTGGGATCCTTGCTAGTTTGGGGTGGGGGTGGGTCGTTACTCTGGGCAGGTTCATATAGCATTTGTCTGAAATTCACATCACATTACTGATGTTCTTCAAGATGTGGTTTTGTCTATTACCAAGACCCTCAATGTTGGCCATCATTATGATTGTAACCGTAATCAGTAACTGATTATAATTATGATATTCTGATGATGTACTGATCCCTAGGTTGGGACAGAAGTTCTTCTAGGAGCAATTCTGGAGTTGGAAAAGACTTAACTCCCTCTCTTCTCCTCGGCTCTATCACTATGAGTAGAGGGGTGGACATTCACCTCAGCGTATCCAGCTCTTCTTTGGTGAGGAAGTTGCTGGGCTCTACAGTGGACACTTGTCTCTTCAACATCTGAAGTTCTACCTCCAGCTACAAAATAAAGAGAACAGATGGAAGTTAGCTTTGTTTTTTGGAGTGGTCACCAGAGATCAAGACACAGATAAGCCTTCCATATCCATGAAGTCTGAGATGAAGACAACCTCCTGCTAAATAAAAATAACCAATAAACACTATCATTACGACTTAGCACAGGGGTCTTCAAACTTGGCCCTTTTATGACTTGTGGGCTTCAACTCCCAGAATTCCTCAGCCAGGCACCCATGCCTGGCTAAGGAATTCTGGGAGTTGAAGTCCACAAGTCATAAAAGGGCCAAGTTTGAAGACCCCTGGATTAGCATAACAAGTGATAGACCTGCGTGAATCTCTATTAGTAAACCGTGACCTTGAAAATTAGAGGAATGGCTCCAAAATAAAGAGGCTCCTGCTTTAGCTGCGAGTCGAGTATTCGTGGACATCTGGGGAGGGGGGAAAGGGGGGGGGTAAGATATCCCTTGTGTGTGTCAGATGCCATTTGCCCTGATGATGTTGTGATTCACATGATGCTATTTTGATATCGCTGTGGTTTTTTGTGAGACACCTATGGGAATCCGCCAAGCTGTTTTATCTGACTTACCTTTTGATTGCAATGCGAGATGCAAGGCACAAATTTCCGTGCTTTTCAATGAATCATCAACCGTGGAAGACACATTTGGAGAAGATAATAGAGTTTCAGCTGTTCCTTACTGAAGGATTAAATACGTCTCCCCTGGAATGATTTTTAAAGAGGTCTTTTGCCTCCACAAACCTTAACTAAATTCTGATAGGGGTAAGGATCTTTGAGTCTAGGCAGATTTTACATCAAACTTTAGGTCATTCCTATTAAAAATTACGAGTTCCTTCAATGTCACACCCTACCTCCAACCAGCCTTCTCAATTTTAACAAAAATTAGTCTTTTTGCCATTGGTATGAATTGTTCATTGCAATGAACAAGGACATACATTCAGTTTTGCAGCTACTAAGATTGTTGGACGAGCAGGCACAAAAACAGCCAGGGGAGTGATTGAAGTCTGGAAAATGGGCCTCTTGTCAGTCAACAGGAGTGCTGATTTACCCCCAACTTATCAAGGACTTTAGGAGGTGAGGGCTTGGCAGCACAAGGAAACAACAGCCAAGGATTTAACAGCCAGCCAACAACATCCCAATCAACAACTAAAACGCCGCACACAACAGGCACCAAATAAATACCATGCACAGAATAGTCCAAAACAGTCTTCTAGAGAGAAGTTCCCTGAGGATGGGCTCCAGCAAGAATCAGAAAGCTTGGAAGACTGAAACTCTGGTCCGGGTGACCGACCCAGATTGGTTCCTGCACTTAATGATTTGCCTATCCTAAAGTTTGGGAACGCTCCTCTTTAAGATGTTCTTTGAAGAATTTCTGGGTCTTCTTATAGAATGTGGTCCTCAGCATGGCTGGCTGGGGAATTCTGGATGTTGAAGTGCACAAAACATTGCCAGGGTTGGAGAGCCCTGCTTTAGAGGACCATGGCTGGCAGGGGAATTCTGGGCGTTGAAGTCCACAAGTCTTGAAGTTGCTAAGATTGGACACCCCTGGTTTGGTCCTTTCCCAAGCCCCTCCATTAAATCTCTGTCCTGTGGTCTGATGTTCTTTCTTTGAAAGTGTCATAGTATGGTGGACCACGTTCTGTAAGAAGATCCAGAAATTCTTCAAAGAGCATCTTAAAGGGGATTTAAACTCAGTCTCCTGGCTGCCTCCTAAATCGGCCCTCCCCTGCATTCTCAAATTGTTGAAAGAAAGAAAGAAAAAAAAGACACCATAAATCATATTGGTTGGCTGGTGAGATGATCACAGCGAGACATATTGTCCTCAATTTTATGATTAGTGGGTTTCTCGGTTTGTTTTTTTCCAGCTCAACCCATCATAGACAGCCGGTTCAAGCTGGCGCTCTGAAGATAATTCTAGGGACGGGATATCTGAAGGAGCACCAGTCAATCCAGCGGGAGATTTTCAATTCCACCCCGTAGTTCCCACATGGAGCCATTCATCACAGCCCAGGATGCTTTGCTTTCCAGCCGAAGGTTGCAATGAGGTTTGTTATTATAGTTCTGAGCTGGTCTGAGCGCTCCCACGGAGGAGCAGCAGTAAACAGCCTATTTATCATGGGATAAGCGGACACAAGGCCAAATTCCCCGCTGCCACCTGTTCTCTTGACATCCGGGCAGATAAATTGCCCAGCATTCCCTTTGGAGAAGGAGGCATGGGGTCCATAATCGATGGCCGGGCCCTGCAAATGTGCACGGATGGCAGGGAAGGAGGTGGAGGGGGGTTTACGAAGCCCCCCCATGCAAGATACAGCGAGGTTGTCCATGCCAGCTGCTGCTTGCGGTGATGATGAGGGGGTGACAATACGCAACTTCCTCCGTGCCTGGCAATGTGTTAGGAGGCTGCTCTGTTGAAAAAACAGCCAACAGTGTCCCAGAGACTTGGATATGATTCAGACAACTGTCGGGCAGCTGAAGCCTTCCAGGGGCAACTCAAAATACATTTCAAATGCAAAGTTGGCTCAACGTTTTGCAGCAGAAGTTGGGGGGGATCAGAGTTATGGATAGTCCTCAAATTACGACCACAGTTGAGCCCAAAATTTCTGTTGCTCAGCGAGACACTGGTTAAGTGAGCCTTGCCCCGTTTTACGACCTTTCCTGCCAAACGTGATAAGTGACTCACTCTGGTTGTTAAGAGTAACACGGTTGTTAAGTGAAACTGGCTCCCCCGTTCACTTTGCTTGTCAGAAGGTCGCAAAAGGGGACCGTGTGCCCCCCGGGACACTGCAACCGTCATAAATATGAACCAGTGGCCGGGCCTCAGAATTTTGTTCACCTGATCGCGGGGATGCTGCCACGGCCGTAAGTGTGAAAAACGGTCATAACTCACTTCTTTCAGTGCTGTTGTAACTTGGTTGTATTTTTGCAGATGTTTCATTACCCAACTAGGTAACATCATCTGTGATAGAAGGGACTGGGGTTTGTGGAGAGGAGGAGGAGGAGGAGGAGGAGGAGGAGGAGGAGGAGGAGGAGGAGGAGGAGGAGGAGGAGGAGGAAGAAGAAGAAGAAGAAGAAGAAGAAGAAGAGGAGGAGGAGGAGGAGGAGGAGGAGGAGGAGGAGGAGGAGGAGGAGGAGGAGGAGGAGGAGGAGGAAAACAATGATGACTGTGGGATCCTTGGGCGTCTCTGATCTTGGTAATTTTCTTGCAGACGTTGCATTACCCAACTAAGTAACACCATTAGTGCTAGCAGGAAGTGGGGCCTGCTCGCTTATATATGTACATAAACAGAGATAACTGTTGCAAAAAAGGTGATAAAATGGAGCAAAATTCACTTAACAAATGTCTCGCTTTACCACTTAAATTCTGGGCTCAATTGTGGCCCTAATTCGAGGACTACCTGTACATATGGGGTTTCGTCTTGCCCCTTCTCTGGACACCCCAACAGCCAAGGAAAGGAGTGTGGTAGTCAGAGGTGATTTCTTTGCAAAACTGAAGCAATTTTATGGCTCCCACAACATGCAGAAAGCTTCCTCTCATCCATCAGCCTGAGCAAAGGCCGTTAATGGGAACCCCAGAAACAGCCTCATGGAGGGGGAGTCCTTGGGGAGAGCAAAAGGAATGGGGGGGCAGAAAGGAGAGTCCTGGGGGACCGCCTGTCCTCCCTTCACACTCTATTCATTTGCACCCAGCGTCTCCGATAATTACGCCTCTTAATTTAGAAGCGTGAGTGCCAGAAAAGAATATAAATTCATGCATTAACTTCTGAGATTGAAAATAAGGAGGACTGGACCTTCTCTCCTACAGATTATATTTGGAAACGAAATAGAGTGACATTTGGTATTAACTTGAAAAATTGCACTAGGAAGGAGGGAGGGATAAAAAAAGCCTCACTAAAAATCCACAGTTGGGCTGAGATCAGCTGAAGTCAGCATCTGCGCTACCTGGATCCAAGTATCTTAACTTAGACAATATATGTATATATCCATTACGGCAAGTTCTCGGACGCAATAAATATTTAACAACTCTCTTCTCGCCAGCGCGGGAACTTTGCTGTGTTGGTCCAAATCTTTCTCCAACATTGCAAAAAAAAAAAAAAAAATCTAATTTGGGTTGGGTTGTGTTTTTTTTTGCCCCCTCCCCCAGATTCATGGGGAAGGATAGGATAGGATAGGATACGATAGGATAAGATAGGATAGGATAGGATAGGATAGGATAGGTTAGGGAAGAAATTCTAAATTGTTTTTTATTTAGGCCTTCCTTTGACTTAAACCGTCCATTAATTGGAACCAATGTTGAGGTTGCCTTGCAGGATGAATGAACGGAGATTTATGCTAAAGCAGCTTTGGCTGTGATTTAGTAGCTGCTGCTTATTTATTTATTTTTTGCCTCAATGCCTTATGATGAAAGGTCTGGCAAGAACTTTGCCTGTTCATTATTATCTTGGCTAACAGAAAGCCTAGCCTAGCTCATACACTCACTAGGAACAGGCTTTGCTCTTCTCCAGAAGATGGATGCTTTGGCTTTTATTTTTCCTTGTCCCAAGACTGGGAAAATACAGATCAGCTCATACTTTGGTAGGATCCTATCCTGTGCTATTCAAGGAATAACACAAACGAGGGAATCTCCCAGGCTGAAAAGTACATAAATATTAAACACTTGTAACTAATAATCTTGGCAGCATCACGAGCGGTTTTTTTTTTCTTTCTCTTAACTACTTAAGTTTTCCTCTCTTAAGCCCAACACAGTTTGATGCGAGCCATTTTGGTACCCAACCATTGTCTGAAAGGCAGGATAATTATCTAATAAATACATAATGCTGAGCTTTGGATCCATTGGGGTTGCTGATGGGATAATTGCTGCAATGTTCAGGGAACAGCTACGTCTTTTTGTTCCTTTACAAAAACTCCAGTCAAAAACTCCTAGAAGTAAATGGATGCTTTGTTTTAAAACAAGCAAGCCTGTTATAAATAGTGGACAGTACTGTATATG